TTTTGAACGGGTATTTTTCACATTTCGTCACTTTTGACACATTTTCGGTCCCCAATTGTCGACGAGGAGAATCGAATGCACTTTGAATGATGCAAATCGGCCGAGCCGTTTTCGAGAAACATTTGTATCGTTAATGAGTCACGCGTGGAGGTTTATATTTGCTGGATATGTTATGTACTTTTCAGCACGACCTTTTTGGAAATCAAACAATTTTTGTGCCAGCCATGGTTGGCCTGTTAATTAAGACCGAAACTGAAGTAAAAGGAAACGGGTGGAAAGATTATGTGGCAGTGGTTCTCAACTATCTTTATGGAGACAAACTTGCATTATTGTCAGCAAAGGGGAAAAGAAACACAACAGGAATTAACAAGAAACTGTATAAAAGTCTTTATGGTAGGTAGCTCATTCTTTTAGAATTGATCCTTCTTTCTGTATTCCCAATTTACTTCTGTTTTTGCCATTTCAAAATTTAAAGAATTCTGAATTACCATTTTGATGTTAATTGCACCAAATTAACTTAATTCTGCTTTGTTCAGAGAAATGCTTAGTAAGTGATTTCCCTGATCCCCCTGCTGGCAAAGAAGGCATAAAGAGTTTCAACAGATGTATTAATCTGTTGTCTCAACATAAAAGGCAAGCGAATGTCAATGAAGATCATAAGAAGAACAGGAAGCGTGGTAAGTTTTATTTGTGTTAATTTTTTTACATCTACAAAAGGGAGTCAATGATGCGCTTATTCCTGAATTTATAACCATGGTTTTAATCTGTAATTGAATTTTCTTCAGGTAAGGAGCTTGGAGAGAATGAGGAGGTTGAGGAGGAGCAGCCTCATGACAAAGGTAGGACAACTGTTGTCATGACATATTTCTGATATGATAACATTGCACTTTTTGGTTCATTTTAAAAGATTTTTATCATTTTATTATTTCCATAGTTGCAAGACAAGCTTCTCAATCTATTACTGAAGAAGCAACGCACTTCTCTCGACCTGTTGGAGAGGAAAATGAACTGCAGCGATGTGCCTCAATGAGTACGTGATTTTCCTTCCTTACCAATTTTTAAATATTTGATATGCCACTTGTGTAATACATCTGTTTACAAATTCATTTTCAGGGGAAGCGGAGGAACTATTACAGGAGGACCGCTTTCATAACTATTCTGTAGTTCACAATGGTAAAAAAAATTTTAAATTAAGAAAAGAAAAGTGACATGAATGACGATTGCTTCATGTCCATTTTTTCTTAATTTTGTTGTTGCAGAATCACCCCGCTCTGATTGTAGAGAAATTAGAGATGGAGAATATATAATGCTGCAAACACCATCAGCAGGACCCAGTACACAGAACCGGACATTTAGAAATATATTTTTGGAAGGTAACTAATTTTCACCTTGGGAAAAAATACATTGCAACAAGTTTATGTTACCTTCTTTTTATTTTTTGTGCTGTCTTTGCAGGAGCAGCAGATAACAGGCAACGAGAACAAGAAGCATACAGCCAGGAACAGGGGAAGCACTTCAATATACTTCAAAGTTCTCACAGCTTAAATGGTACGCATTTGTTCACTTTAAAATTGCAAGTAAAGTAATTAGAGTTGTCTTTTGTTCATTCTTTTTAATTTTGTTTTTGCAGAATCAAATGGCACAGTAGTTCAGGGACCGTATGGCAGTCCATTTCAGTTACACACACTTTCTACCTCTCGTCACTGTGCCCTACCAGGTAAGAGAAAATGTGCTCAAAAAGAACTGCAAACCTCTAACAATTTGTCTTGCTTTCTGTTCAATTCTTACTTTGTATTTGCAGGAGCAATTAACGCACAAGTGCAGGGGCAGATGGCACAACATTCGCAAGCACCATCCAAGTCACAGTCCAGGCCTTCATCATCAGGTAAATTAACTTTACTAATCAGTGCATAATGGGTATCACGGGTGTGGAAGCTAGGTAGAGAGAGATATATTATTCTAGACTGCAAATTGATAGCACTTCACCTTGACAGCAGAGGGTGATATTAATATTTCAGATTTAAACAGTGAGGCATTTATTGGAGAGTACTGTGATAAAAGCTGGTCTTATTAGATTTCCTGACCTTTAAGAAAGAAAAATTGTTTTCTTATTTCTGGTGGGTGTTGGTGCTAAATTTTATGCAGATTGGGTTGATGCTAAAAAAAAGTATAAAAAAGTAAAGGGAAGCCCTAGTTACAATTAGTCAGACACCTCTTGAAAGTGGACTTCTAAGAATTTATGCTTGCGCCCGACATTCCTACAAAAAATGATTGAGAAATTACCTATCAAGTTTATTTGAATCAGGAACTTTAACACTATACGTTATTATTGCCATTTCTCTTGTTTCTTGCCCTAGGGAGATTCTGACTTTTTACATTTAGCCTTTATTATCTTTATGAATAAATTTTGGTTGAATTTCAAGATTGAAAGTCTACCTGGGGCCAAAAAGATGGAAAAGAGCCCTTGCAATGTACAGTTCGAAGTTTTCTGATTCAAATAAACTTGACAGGGAATTTAGTAGGAATATTCGGCGCAAGCTGCCACTAAGCAAAGAAATACCTTGTCATAACGGATTGGATTTTTTAAAAGTCATGCAACACAGAACACTCTAGCTCCATCTCGTTCCTACTTGTGCAATCAACCATTGTGCTTTTGTAAAATTAAAGTTCCAAATGTACCTTTCCAAAGATTTAATATGTTTCTTCTGGTTTCAGGATATTATACCTCCGATGCCATAGCAAATGCCCTTCAGGTGCTAAGAGCAAATGGCATACCTGTGCCCATTAGATAGATAGTATTTCTGTTTTGTTTTTTTTCCAATGTGTACTATCAGCGCAGAAAAAATTGAACCCCTCTGACGTCCATTTTCCAAGCAGAAAGGGCTCCCTTCTTTCTGCGCTGATAGTACATGTTTTACATTATCTGGTAAAGTTATTGTAGTTATTGTATATTGTATCATATTGTATTGCATTAGAATTATGTAAAGTATTAT